CCGCGTGGAAGCCACTGCGAGTTCCAGCCACAGGCTCACGTTGTCTGCTGTGTCCTAAGCCAGTCCCTGGCCTGGGTGGGGGCCGCAGGAGTAGGATGGGGACGGCCCAGACCATATGCTAATCAGGGCCCAGAAAGCCAGCCCCGGGCCAGGGGGCACAGCGGCGCCTGGAGCCCAGGGCCCGGCCAGGGCAGAGGCCGTGGCCATCCCGGGACAGAGCGAGGGCTGGAAACCCCGGGTCTCTGAAAAGGGGGGACACCGCTGGAGAGGTGACGTGGTGTGTCAGGCTCTGTGGCTTAAACGCAGCTTTCAGGGGACGCATTTCTGCGCCCTTGCCTTACCCACCCCCCTCGCTGAGGACTCGCTTCTGCTTGCCGCTTTGCGACATGGGGGCAGCTCGCAGGAGGCCTGGCGACCGCCCCGCGCCCCCCATCCCCCGTGGTCACTCACCTCGGCGAAGGGTGTGAGGGCTGGACCCCGCAGAGCTGTGAGCCGGGCTGGCGGTCAGCTGGTGGGAGCTGGCGGGTGGCTGCGCCTGGTTCGGGCCGCCGGCCGCCAGACCGCCGTTCCTGCCGATTGTGGGTGCGGCTGCAGGGTCCTTGGGTTTAGGGGGGCTGGAAGGGGGAGGGGTCGAGTCAGGACGCCGGCGTGCCAGCCAAAGGCCCAGGCACACCGGGACACACGTGCCGGCAGCCACAGTTCTCACCCGCTCAAGCGAGGAGATGACGTGCAGCTTTAAATAGTCCGCACCCACATACGACAGGACAAGGGTCCTCAACCCCTGGGCTATGGACCGGTCCCAGTCCTGCCTGGCCTGTCAGGAACCGGGCCGCACAGCAGGAGGTGACGGTGGCGGGGGTGAGCCAGCGAAGCTTCATCTGCGTTTGCCGCCTCGGCCTCACCTCAGGTCACCGGGCATTAGATGCTCTAGGAGCCCCGGTCCCTGGTGCCACAAAGGCCGGGACCACTGACGTACGAGACTCACTGCATCAGACAGTCTTCCAATTGCTCTGCCGCTCGATTATCACGAGAGACGTGTCACAGCAACCAACGGGAAACTTCAAGTTCTAGTGTGCTTGTGCCTCGACTCACAGTATTAAAACACCCGAAGGAGCTTTTGGGCTTCAAAATAACGCACTTTTGGCATATACAAAAGCGAAAGCTACGGTGAAACACTGATTCTCTGAATTATTCAGGGCTCGGCCAGTGTCAGTGCTGCAGGCTTGAGAGGAAAAACCGAGACCCTTAAGGGCCGATCGCAGTCCCGAGCTGGCCAGCAGCAGGGAGCGGTCACCACCCAGGCTTTCTGCCTCCAGGCCCAGAGCTGCTTTTCACAGGGAACCCGACAGCTACCGTTCCTCAAGGTCGCCGAAGGGCGAACACCGTTCCTGAAACGTACACAGAAGCCTCCACAGAGCGTAAGCGCCGAGGGGCGGACGGATGATGACGTTCTATTTGTCTGTCTGCAGGGAAGACTTGTTTTTATCGTAAATGATATACTTAGCTCTGGTTAAACCAGTGGAATGCTACAGCTACGTGGAAATGTGTGAGTTCACCAACGCTCTTCTCAAACGCAAAAAATTTAAAGCAAACACACATAAGAGAAACAGCAGTTGCTGAGAAGCCAACACAGAGCTCACGGTGAGCACATGAAGCCCCAGGAGAAAACTGGAAAAAAGGAAAGCCAACGACAAAAAAAAGCAGCTCTGGGAAGTTTGAAGCCTTCATTATTTTTAACCAACAAGTGAACTTCCCCAAATTACATAAAGAAAAAGGAATTCAGGAATGCACAAAGCTCTCGGAGTCCGGCTCTGAGGATTTAAGAGATTCTTATCGCGTAAGCAGCTTCACGCACCACGAGGCCCCCGTCTCCCCCCAGGGGAGGTAAAGATGGTCCCCCGAGGCACGCGCATCTCCGTGCGCAGGGAAAGCTGTGGACAAACAGGCCGTCCTTGTCTCACGCACTTATTTCTCCCCCTAAGTGATCGCTCGGCGCTCAAACGCCGCCTCAGACGCCACCGCGAGTGGCCTCGGCGGCTCCGCTGCCTGGGCCGCGGCCGAGAGCTGAAATCAGGCAAATCAGATCAAACCCTCAAGCTCAGAGGTTCAAAGGCCCTTCTCCTTGGAGGTGCTAACCCTAGCCCACTCCAGGCGGCTGATCAGAAGGGTAAGCAACAGAGAAGCCTTTCAAGGAAATCTGTCATGTTTTGTACCTTGTGCTCTTGCATCGACTCCCCTATGAGGCTGAAAGCTAGGGAGCTGCCGGGGGCAGGGGCGGGGGGCGTCTTAGTCACCAAGTGTGCCCAGTACTGCATCTGGTACCTACTGCTCAGTGCTCAATTATTCAGTAAATCTGACTGGACAGATGGGTGGGTGGGTGAGTGGGTGGATGGGAGGATGGGAAGATGGATGGATGGGTTTGCAGGTGGATGGATGGATGCACGAGTAGGTGGATGGGTGGGTGGGTGACTGAATGAATGCCCGGCATAGTATCACCCAACTAACTTGCTACATTCAAACGTTTACTGGCTGGCAACTAGATGGCAACAGCAAACAGTACGTGGACACTGAGCACACACCGAACAGGGAGACGAGGCTCACGGCACTGCTAGACACCTTCCGGCTTCTGGCTTCCACAGAGAGCAGCAGAGTAAAGAATGCAAACAGACATGTGTCCTTTCGAAACCAAGGAAGGAAGCGATCTGCAGTCTTCCCCTACCCATAGCCCACCGGAGGGTGGAGGCAAATGTGGTTCACTGCACGCTGGGTGTGTCTGGGGCAGGGACGCTGTGCCCTCAGGCCGGCCCCCACAGGAAGGCTGGGGCGCCCAGCACCCACTGCCGGCAGAAGCCAGCCTCCTTACCTGCTGTCGCCCAGGCTCGGGCCCTGCTCCAGCGTGCCCGCAGACGACAGGACAGGCCCACCCCCTGTGCTGCTCTCAGCTTTAGAGCTCTGGGGAGGGGGCTCTGGGCCGGCTGGAGCCGAGGTGCCGCCGTCTGCGGGCGGGAGTGGCGGCTGGGAAGCAGGCGATGTGTGCTTCCTACTTAGGGCGCCACCCCGCCGGTAGGCCTGGAAGTCCGTAAGCTTCACACCAAAGCTACAGAGAGAAGAGACAGTCAGCACGCCATGCGAGCCACCTCCTGACACAGAGCCCACTGGAGCCCGCGTGCCAACGCCCACACACAGACAGCCCCCAAGTTGCCCAGCATGCAGTGAAGCGCAGGACCAGGCGAATGGGCATCGCTGTCACCAAGGCAACCCAGAGAGCCAGAGCCCAGAAATGACCAAGTCGGGTGTGAGCAGCTGAAGGCACACAGGCCTCGTCGTGGGAGATGTCACACTGGCGTGTTCACGGCCGTATCGCTAGATAGGAGCCCACTGTCCCAGATCTGAGTGTGTGGGGCCCAAGGTGACAGCCGCGTGCAGAAGTCCTGCCCTGGGCAGGGCGCGGTGACCCCACGCTGCCTCCCGGGCTCAGACGTGTCTGCAGAGAACGGATCTGCCGGCAGAGGACTCGGACCGGCTGTTCCGGGAGGCAGGTGGTGGCTGGAGGGCAGGCCAGAGGAAGACTCGCTTTCTGCGTAAGCCCGCGGGTATACAGACTACAGAACTTCCTCTTCAGTTCAAAAACTAAACAACTCGTGACTCCCTGAGCGCGTGCTCCGGGGTGGGCTGGCGGGAGAGCCCCCAGGCAGACGGAATGGATCGTGTGCCACCGAGACCCCAACACCGCACTCTGCCACCTAGCGGTGTGGAGGCTGATGCTGGTGTGCAGTCTGTCTGTGAGCAGGAAGCGGGGCGGACGCGTGAAGGGAAAACTCCTGCACCTAACGAAGGTGGGCTTTAGAGGGACGGAATAGGTTTTCCTTTGCAGCGGGTTAAGAATAAGCAAAACCCAAGCTCGCTCTCAGACTGGGTGACTGAAGCAAGAGCCTGCGGTTCAGTTCCCACGCCAGCAACCCCCAGGACAGCAGGGACGCGGGAAACCACGTCCCACTGCTGGGGAGCGGTGGCATCGCCACATGCTCAGGCGGGGGCGTCTGACAGCTCGTCACGAGCAGCCGTGACCACCTCTGAAAAGCCTACGAGTCACCATGGAACCTTGTACGGAGACACACTGTCCCTCACTAGGCCAACACAGCCACTGTCTCCCCCAGAACTGCAAACTGGCTTCTCTGGCTAGACCTCGGACCCAGGGCTGGCGTCCACCGAGGAGCTGAGTCACATTGAAAACGTGTCTTTAAACACCAATCACACGTCACTGCGAGAGGTGGCCGTTCTCACGATCACTCCTGGACACACGCCCATGACACGTAAGTTTTCTCTCTTTCCCCCCGTTGAGCACGTTTAGTGACTGTGATGTGTGTGTGCCGCCACGCCGCCGTGGGGGTGTGAGAGCCCACGGAGTCGTGTGCGACCGCTCGAATGCTAGGTGACAAGCACGTGCCCACGTTACGCTCAGAGCGATGTCTGCAGCGGACCAGAGCAGAACCCTGAGGCCACCTGGACTCTCGCAGGTGTGGCCCTAGGGCGCTGCCTGCGCGTGACAGGCCCCCCGAGCTGGACCAGGTCCCCGGGGCTGAGCGAAGCCGGCGCGAGGCTGGTCGGCTCCACACGCACCTCTCCTTCTTCGCCAAGTCGCCCTCCATCACCGCCATGCTGGCCGGCCGCTTCCTCTCCAGGGTCCCCGAGTCGGACTCGTTTCCCGTGTGGGTCGAGTGATTGGAATTTGGGGTGGCAAGAGGTACGAACGCTTCTGACACGTTAAATTCCACCTCTGCAAGGAGAGACGAGAGAAGGGGACACTTCAGAACCTAAGTCACGCAGCCCCTGTGTCGTGTCCTTTGTGGAAAAAACAAACCCACGGAACGTGGAAGAGGACGAGGAGCGTGGGTGACTCATTCGCACCGCGGGGCGAGGCGCTGAGCGGCCTTTATGGTTCGACGTGGAACAGAAACAACAGGCGACGCGGACTGGACGCCACCCGCGGCCTCTCCTGCCAGCCTCGCGCTCTGGGAGGCGCCTCGGGCCGGCCGCCAGCGCCCGCTCACCCGCCAGGACTCGGCAAGCTGCCCAGGGCGTGGGGTGGCTCCGTGGCAGGGAGCCCAAACAGGACAGCGAGGCCCTGCCCCGCGGCGCCTGCACCCCAGGGTGCGCTGGCAGGCTGCCCTGGCCGAGCAGGGGGGCCCGGACCTCCGGCTCCTGCCCGACCGGAACCCCAATGGGGCGTGGGGCCCCCGAGGGAGCCGGGGCCGCGACGGGCGCAGCGTGAAAACCCACTGCCTGAGGACGAGTCCTGGTTCCATGCTGCAGCCGACGACCCTACTGCCGGGCCCAGCCGGCCTCCCGCTGGGCCCCTCTGCAGCCTGCGACCGCCCGCCGGGGCAATGGGACGCCTCGTCCAGGGGGACGCCTCGTCCGGGGGGACGCCTGCTGGCCGGGGTGGCCGACCTCCAAAGCAGCCTGGGCCCTCCCCCGCCTGAGTCGGCCAGATCGCCGTCCGCCACCATCTTCCTAAGTCGCCGTGCGTCACGACGTCTGTTTGTGGGGCTGCTTCTCCGGGGGCCCGTGCTCCTCTTACCAGCAAACGGACGGCACCCAGTGGGCGCTGGGGATGTGCCTACAAGGAGCGACCCCGGCGTGCAGTGGGCTGAAGTGGAGCGCAGTCGGCGGCCCCGCCGCCGCGTCGGAATGCGCACGCAGGGAGACGCGGACACGTGACGCCGGCTCTGCGGCCGCGGGCGGTCTCGGAGGACGTCCCGTGCCACCTCACTACCGCCACGCTGGCCCGGGAGCACTCACCTCCGGGGAAGAACCAGTCGGCGTGCTGGATGATGGGCTCGATGACGGCGACCACGTGCACGGAGGTGGCGGCTGCCATCTCGGCCAGCGTCCTGCAAAGGAGGTCCGCGGGGTCACAGGCTGCCCTGGGCGGCCTCCGGTCTCGGCCTCCGGTCTCTGCGGGCCGAGCCGGGGCGCGGCTTCCGTATCCACAGCGTGAAATGTTTAAGCACAAACGCAAGAGTTAGATGCACAGGGCCCCAGCCTACGGACGTGGGGGATCGCCGGGCTGGCCGCCGCCCCTCGGTGGCACTGTGGTGACACCGGTGTGTGACAGCCTGTGAACGGCGGCTGTTGCGTGCTGGTTTCACACGGGCTCGGGACAGGCTTGCGTTTCCCGCCGGGACGGGCCCCGGGGCGTCAGCTCTGAGACCGGCACCACCACAAAGCAGTGAGGCCCCTCACGCCGGAAGCTGAGCCCCCCGCATTGACGCGTGTTACTAAGGCTGCCATTAGGACGGAATGGTCCCAAGATGCCCGTTCAGAAGCGGAGCGTCTGGACGCCGGGGACGCCAGAGGAAGCCAGGTGAGAACGGCACCCCGCCATCAGCCTCGCACCCCGGTCCACGGTCAGCCCATGAGAACAGCAGTACGCGAGGGCCGGGCTCCGCGCCCCCGACTCAGACTGTGCGGCACGGGGGCCGTGAGGTGACAACATCATGGCACGTGGCTTTAGTTCAGAAGTGAGGCCGCTGCGCTCCCTAGCGGCTAGGTCCCAGGGCAGATGCCCCAAATCTATTTCCCACCGGGAAGAAAAGCCTCACCCCGGTTTCCAGCCAGGCGCAAAGTTCTAGCTCCTTCCAAGTTCCAGCGGGAGGGCAGGCTCAGCCTGCAGTTCAACAGGAGCCACCACACAGCTGTGGCCGCACGTGTACCAGGCTGTCCCACAGCCGCTCACCTGCCCGCTGCTCGGGGTGGGACCCGTGACGACGGGGACAGTGTCCCCCGCGTCCTTGCGTGGCCAGCACACGGCTCACGGCAGGGCTCACCGGGAAGGTCGGCCTCAGACTGGCCCACGTGCGCCCGGCGACAGGGTGTGGACCGCCAGCCGTGTTCTGCTCCTACCGTTGGGCGGACAGCCGGGGCCAGCAGCACGGAACGGGCACGACCCACCTACCCTTCGTTTCTGGCCCACAGCAGGTTGGGGCCCAGGACGATGGCGATGTTGCTGGGGGTCATCTTGTTGGAGTCACTGGTCTGCGCGAGCTTCGCGAGAAACTTGATCAGGTACCTGAGGACGAGAGGGTGGCCGCCCACTCAGAGAGGCCCGGGACACCGCCTCCCCGCCCGGCTCAGGTAGAGCATGTCACCAACGCTCAGCGCTGTTTTAGGAACAGAGTTTAGGGCTCGGAGGAGGAAATCGCTCCAACGTGAACCTCAGCGACCCGGGCTCCACGGGCCGTGTGCTTTGAATCCCTTTCTCCTTGAGGCTCTACCTGTTCTTCCCCAGAATAATTTACAATGTGACTAACGGTGGCTTCGACGTATACAAACACAGTGAAACACAGAAGTGCATGCAAACGTGGCCGAACACAAGCGTAGGCGGACTGCTCAAAGGAGACTACGTTTAAAAATGCTTTATGTTACAATTATAAAAATGTCCGATTTAACATATAAATGTCCTCTCTTGCACTATAAATCAAAAACTTAAGAACAACCCGACTATCGACCAGTAGGGGTTTGATTAAACAAATGACAACATAGCCACGCAGCGCAGTGCTGAGCAGCCGTAAACGCTACTGCGTGCCGACGTGGGGGACCCCCAAGGTGGGTATTACGCAAAAAAGGCCAGGAGGAGAAGGATGTGCACGATACAGGCTACCGTCAGCTTTCGGGGAAACCGGGGTGTGAGAGATGCGTGCAGTGTGTCTGCACGTGCTGCTCACATGGGCGCCGGCTCCTGCTGGGGCTACACAAGACACCAAAGCCACCGGCTGTGCGTCGGGGGAAACAGGTGGCTGGGAAACAGGGACAGGAGACCATGGAAATGTACGCCCTGCTCAGAAACAGTTCACAGACATCATAGAGAGTAAGATAAAACACAAGGCCAAATCCCAAAGCACCGACACCCGGAATTCAGTTACCGCCGTCAGACACTGAACAGACTGAGACAGCAGCCTGTGCTCCGGGTCCGGCTGAATGACACGGCGAGGGACCGCACGAGCACAACGCCCGCGGGAGGCCGGCAGCCCTGGCGCCAGGAAGGACTCTGTCGCTGAGCTCGGTGACGGAGCCCAAACCGAACGGCGTGCCACCGGGACAGCCGTGTCACCGGGAGAGTGACGGAGCCCAAACCGAAGGGCGGGCGTGCCACCGGGACAGCCATGTCACCGGGAGAGTGCCTGCCATGCGGACCGAGCCCTCTTACAAAATTTTAATTTTAAGTGACTTTATCACCAACAGCAGGAGCCCTTTCCCCTCCTCTCTGTGCTTCTTCAAATGTACATTTTAAGCCGAAGGGGAAATAGAGATCATATTCCAGAAATTTATTCTACGGTGAATTTTCTTAGAAACACACTTATTCTATAACGTAACATATAATCTCCGTTTCCTTCCTTCCTTCCCCATTTCTTATTTTTTTTTAGGTGAGGCGACCCTTGGTTGACCTCACAGATTACAAGGACCTGGTCAGCTTACGAGTCCTCATTATTTTTATTTTTTATGCCTACAGCACCTGGTCTTCCTAGGTGGTCTCCCATCCAAGGACTAACCGGGCCTGACCCTGCTTAGCTTCCGAGATCAGACGGGATCGGGCGTGTTCAGGGTGGCATGGCCGTGAACTATAATCTCCATTTCTTAAAATCTCAGTAGGACGATTTATGATCTCTTTCGAATAAATCATGTACTGCATATGAAAGACACTACAGAAAATATAAATAATGATTAATTTTTGCCTTTTACACACTGGACAGTTTAGACGAACTCCCACGTACGGTGAATCCAACTTTCCACAAGCGTTTTTCCCAGTGGCAGCCGTGGTGAGTGGCCAGGCACTGACCTACGAGTGTCCGCACGCCACGCCACACGCGCCACGGGCCACGCCCTGCAACGCCAGGCGACCCCGGCCCACAGCACTCCGAGTGTGCCGCCTGCGTGAATTCCGTGGCCTCTGCTGGGGATAAAGCCACGTGCACGCCGGAGCCGCCGCGGCACGGTGGCTGAACGTGCAGGATGCTGACCATACGTACCGAAAGTTAACAAAGTTTGGCGGTGGTAACTTCTGACACGTTCTCCATAAATCCTGAAGTTTTTTATCTTGATCCTGCACACTGAGAAAAAAAGTTTTATTTGTAACGACGTAGTAGAACGCATGCCAGTGATAGCTGTGCTCACGAGCTGCCCTAGCAGAGAAGCCTCCCCTCAGAGAAAGCATGGAAAACGGCACAGATTTGGGAAATAAACAGACGTGGAGCCGAGGACCAACAAATAACTCTGAGCCGTTAGCTGACCTCACTGAGACTCAGCCTCCTGATGTGAAAACCGGTGACCATGAAATTCCAGAGGCATGCCACGTGGAACCGCCTGGACCAACGCCTGTCACACCGGAGACAAGATTCTGCCTAGACTCGTGTGTGTCCATGTCCCACGATCCCTCGTCCCATGTGCGGCACGGCCCCGGGTGAGCTGGCCGAGCTCCAGCTCCCGGGCTCCGTCTTTGCCTCTGGACACGGCCAAAGGCCCTGGGCGAGAGGCCGATCCTGCTACGAAGCAGTTCTGGGGTTGCTGCAGCCACACAGCTCCAGTGAGCACACTCTTGGCCATGAGGGCCGGGCCACCACCTGCAGAGCAGAGCCCACCCCGCCCACCAGCAGGAGAGCACCCGAGATACCGTCTACACAGACGCCCTCCGCCCAGAGCCAGTCTGGAGCGTGAGAGACAGGGCTGTACGTGATCACGCTCCACAGGCCAGTCGCCGTGTCACTGGGATGGCACCGTGGCCAAAGCTGATAACACTCAAGCTCAGAATCAGTTCACCAGAAGACAGACGCCTGCTTTTACAAGCTGACTGCCTCACGGGGACGAGTCTGGGGGTCTTGGAGCAGAGAAGGTCAGGTGGAGGGGTGGGGAGGCTCCCCAGTAAAACACACCCAGACCGTCCCGTACCCGACACTGACTGCCACGCCACTGCTCGGGCCCTAGGCACGGGTATTCCCCGCAGGCTGGCTCAGGCTGGGCTCCAGGGGCCACCGGCCACCACGGGCTTCGCCTCTCAAATCCTCTGCACAGCAACAGCAAACACCCACTCGAAGTGACAGGGTGACCGATTGACTGGAGCAAGTGGCTCACTCCTACGGGAACCACCGGTGACAGAGGTCGGGGACGGAGGTCAGTTCCCTCAGGGGGATAGTCGGGCACCTGCAGAAAGGGGCCACCTCTGGGACTCGCCGAACGAGGCTGCAGGGCCCACAGCCAGCCACCCAGACAGACGGAGCTGGGCGGGGCGCGGGTGAGGGACGAGAGTCCCAGAGCACAGCCGCTAGGCTCACTCCTACGGGAACCACCGGTGACAGAGGTCGGGGACGGAGGTCAGTTCCCTCAGGGGGATAGTCGGGCACCTGCAGAAAGGGGCCACCTCTGGGACTCGCCGAACGAGGCTGCAGGGCCCACAGCCAGCCACCCAGACAGACGGAGCTGGGCGGGGCGCAGGTGAGGGACGAGCGTCCCAGAGCAGAGCCGCTAGGCCGCTGACTGCGACTCCAGGGCGGGGCGCGGAGACGGCGCTCTCACGTGGCAGGCGCTCGGCACTAGGACCGCGGCACCCCTCGCACCCACGTCAACCTTGCACGGTGGCGCCCCCGTGAGATGAGCATGCATGGCACCACCAGCCAGCCCGACACCTGTCCCCAAGGACAGGGCCTCCAAGACACAGGGAGGTTTGATCAGCCAGTCCTCTGTCCCAGAAATGACACGCACTTAAGGCGGAGCGTGAGTGGCGACTTTCCCACCTAGCAATTACAACACTCAGTATGTCCACCCTCAGCCTCAGACTGCGGCCAGGCTATTCGGCAACCACTCTAATGTCATTTGATGATCCCCGGGAATAAAGGACTTGCAAAGCGCACACATTACATCGTTTCCTTTGCATTTAAAAACTCAGTGTTCTTTAAACTCACCTCGCGACTTGGGTCCATTCCTCGTACAGGTGGAAGGTCATCAGGGGTTCGGGCAGCTCCCGTAAGTAGGACTTCAGAGCACCTGAAATCGTGAACACTGAGTATGAACAGGGCAGGGGGCGAACGTCAGGACACGCGATTCTGCAAACTGAAATGACCTCATTACGACCTCCCAACTATGCAGAACAGATCACCACTCGGCAGCCCGCATAGGGAATCAAACGCCCCCACGCAGCCCCGTGCCTTGCAAATGCACCGAGAGCGAGGGACGCAAAACGAAGTCCCTCCCAGAGCACTTTCTTAACAGACGGGACCTTCCTCAGGCATCAAAGGTAGGAGGGGAGCAGACGCGAGCGTGTCCCCAAACACCTGGGCCATAAGCTACCTGCACCTGCACCTAACGGTCAGGCAAACAAAGAAACGGGCTCTGAAACACACACACACACACACACACACACACACACACACACACGCACGCCCACACACGCACGCTTCCTCCTGTCACTTAGGCCTGTAAGGAGACCATCTCCATGAGACCTAAAGTCGGCACTGGACTCGTAACTGGCGACCTGTCGGACAGGCCGCGCCTGCCCCCTGGACGCCCACCTGAGGAGCTCACCTGCCACGGCATGGGGGTCTGAGTAGAACTCATCCAGGTGAGAAGTAGAACAGTCTAGCGCAGCTTTGAGCTTCTTCAGCTTGGAGGCCCCGGCCCCGATTCGGAAGAGGCCCTGAGGGGCAACGAGAAGCAGGAGGCACCAGGTTCAAGTTGTGGGCCTGACCCTGAGCTCGGTGAAGACCTGATGGGCTCCGACCCCAGCTGTGGGGCAGTCCCATGGCTTGCCTGGCAGGGCTGCGGGGGGAGTGACGAGGACCCAGCATGCGCCAGGGCAGAGGGACAAGCAGAGCGGCCACACTAAGCAACGCCAGCTCTTGCCCACCCCATTGCGAAGACACCCATGCCTGTTAGAAATCTATTAAACGCGCTATTTCGTACTTCCACGGGGTGCCTGCTACAGGTTTTTCATATTTAGGAAACATTTTTAACCACGGACAGCACAAGAGAAGTTGCTAGACCGAAGTGCTAGTCGCCGCCACTGCCCGAGACGTTAAGAACATGGGGCTGGCGGCCAGGCGCGGAGGCCGCGGGGACGCCGGGCCGGCCAGTGGGGGAGGGACCTCAGCAGACCAGACCGCGGGGCCGGGTCCGTCTGTACCAGGGGTGCTGTGCGATGTCGCCAGCACCCCGCCTGACAGTCTGGGTCACGAAAGCAGCACTCGCCTCCCCCAAGCCGTGACAACCAAAAATGTCTCTGGCCCTTGCCAAATGTCCCCTGAGGAGGGCACAGCTGGTCCTGGACGAGAAGCACTGGTGCGGGCTACTGGGAGGTGGGGCATGTCCCTGGGGGAGGGTGTGGTGACGAGCAGGGCGCCTGGGGTGTTCCTGGGTCTGGCGCTGGCTCGTGAGGGGCTGGTTCGGCTCGCGCAAGCTTCCTGCCCTGTTCGGCTGCGGCCGTCTGTGTGAACGCCGCGCTCCGCGTGAAGCCTTCCCGAGAACGAGGCCTTGCTCCTCCACGGTGGCCGGGCCCAGCCCGAACCCCCAGCTACACAGGGGAGCCTGGTTCCCGGGGTTATCAGAAATAAGGTTTGAAAAGCCCCCCACCGCCACCCCCGACACCAGCCAACAGGACACGCAGGCCCTGGTGGCGAAAACTGCAGCCCAGGGGCGCTCCGGCCCCGCGCGGCGGCCACGCCCCGGGGGAGGACGGGGGAGGGAGTGAGCGAGGGCGCCGGCCTCACCTCCTCCCTCATGCCGGTCTCCAGCAGCAGCATCACGCAGGCTTCGATGGGCAGCGCGATCTCCCGGCCGCTGCGCTTCAGGTGCTCCTCCAGCGCCGTGCCGAAGGCCGGCTTCTCCGCCCACCTGTCTGCAGCGGGACAGCGCGTGAGGCCGGTGGCGCCGTGGACCCCGTTCCCACCGAAGATGACAGTGGCGGCAGGGACACCGCCCCCCCAAGACAAGACGCGGGGCCCTTCAGTCAGAACACCAGCACCGTCACAATGGCGGGGGACGCCGGCCCCCCACGTCCCCCACACCCCTTCACGCTG